CAGCCTTTCCTGCCAGGGAAACTAACTGGTTACTGGTCTCTGCAGTGAGCACCAGGGCCCCTCCCCATGCATCACCCTTCCTGCCCTCCTCAAAGTTTTTCTCCAGTCCCTCACACCATCCAGACTCTGTCCCACCTTCCTGGAACCCCCTCTGTATAGGAATCACTCCCGCTGGGTAAGCTTTGTCACTCGCCTCTCTGACCACACTCCTTTGTGCTGCCCGGGGCTGGGAGGTGGGCAGAGCTCCGGGCCGGTCAGCCCCACTCTCACACAGATCAGCCCTGGCCCCACACGGACTTGGGGCTGGGGGCATGAAGGGCTCAACTGTGGAGAGACATTCTCTCTCCCTCCCCCAGTTAGCAAAGATCAGCTCCTTGGAAGTATCACATTGGGGATGCACTTTCTTTGTCCTGCTTCTGATCCCCTGAGGGAGAAAGCTACAGTGGCCACCAGGGAAAAGACATGTTGGTATCTCAAGATCTCAGAGCTCTTGTGTCCAAGACCAGAGCTTTCCCTCTTATTATTTCACCTGGAAACGCAGTGGTTTGAAAACTTAGTCTACCAAGGAACTTGCATTTTTAGACAGTAGCTGCCTGTTGCCTTTGTTGTTAATCACAGATTATATGCAGATCTGCTGGTCCCAGGTGCTAGCTGCAGGACACAGCCAGCATGACCCATCTGAGTCAATGTTACTCCTTTCAAAAGCTGGGGGGAAAGGCACCGGCTGGGTAGGCAGCCTCATTGTAGGTAAACACATGATTTCTACAAGTCTTTGAAATAGGAATGACCTCTTGGCCCTCCACGTGGTCCCACATAGGAACTCCTTGCCCTGAGAGGAGGGCAGGTCAGGAATGGCTGAGGGCTTTCGGGACCCCATCAGGCAATGGACATCACCCCTGGCATGCCCCCCCACTCCCACTTTTCTCCCAGAAGAGGTAGGAGAAGAAACAGGTCCAGTTATCTAGAGGAGGCTGACCTTGAACCTTCCATGGCAGAATTTAATTTGAGGAGCTGGTCAGTGGAACCCACTGACAAGCATAAGATTGTGGCGAGACTCGATCCATCAACACCTGTTTTGAGTTTCTAACACTTTCTTGGGTTGTAGGGAGCTACTTGGCACTTTCCTAGCTGTTCAGAAATGGGTGCATATTGACTATAGAGTGTAGTAATTTAACCACACCAAAACCATTTACACTCTGCTTGTGCCTACGGGGATGGCTGGCTTTGCAGCATGGTTCTGAGAATTCTGAGGTTTACAACCTCACCTTGGCTTCCAGATTTCATTGCATCGGTCTGCTTTTTCTTAGACTTTCAAAGTGGGTGTTCTCCCTCTTGTTTTTATTTTCCGCCAGCTCCTGACCAACTGTGTTTATAAGAATTATCGGCTGGTGAGCGCAAGCTGTAAAAACTCTGGGCAACTCATGGACCTACCGCCTCACTATTTTGGGCTTTGGGACTTGCCGTATACTTGCAGGCTGCAGGCTATAGCTTTGCATTTGCTGCTTTGGAGTCAGGTGGCTTGAGAAGACATAGGCAGGATGTATTGATCTGTTATTTCTTTGCAGTTTGCTGAACATTAAGTCTTTAACATTTTTCTCTTAAATATATGTATATAAAATTTTAAATAATTATCTCTCTCTCTCCCAATCTGGCAAGGCAATGTAGACCTATCCCAACACTGCCTAATCACCCTATTAGAAGCACAGATACAGCATTATCTGAAGAATAATCAATATCGGGATGAAAATTAAGAGCTGTGTGGTTAATCCAAAGGAGCGTGAATTGACAGGACCGCAGCCAATGTTTGCAGAAGATATTTGCTCGGATTTTGTTGCCAGGAGATTATCACGCATCACTATTTGTTCAGAATCCTCTGGATGAAGGCTCGGCACCAGGTGTCCCAGGAGGCTGGGGCAGGGACGGTAGCCTGGGGACATGAAGTGGCAGTGGGGACAAGCATACTGGTTCCCACATCTCAGAAGGGTCTGCAGGGGTTTGTATTAAATAGAAGCGCAGATTCCAGAATGTGGCACCACATGGTGAAAATCAGAACCTCTGGGGTGGAGCCCCAGACGCTGCCCTGCAAAGAAGTCCGTCTGATGTGCAGTCGGGTGCGGGGCCACTCTGTACAGGAGGAGGGTGGATTCTCACCCTGGGTCTGCAGCAGGCCTGGAATGTGGCCTCGGTTCATCACTTCCACTCCTAGGTCTCCATGTACGTCCTTTTAAAATGAAAATAATTCTGCCTGATTTGCCTAGCTCAGAGTTACTGGGGCAATGCAATGAGAGCGAAGGTGGGGAGTGAAGATTTACGTATGTTATCTCACTTAAGCCTCTCCAGAGGTGGACATTTTTATTTCCTTGTTAGGATGAGGAAGACAGATGCTGAGAGGTTAAATAACCAGCAGCATCTCAGTCCTGGAGGTTGAGGAGACCAGGTTTGGATCCAGAGCTCTCCACTGCATAACGTGGTCCTCTGAGATTTTGGAAATCGGGCAGACCCTGGCTACTCGAACTGAGGCATATGGGCCGGCAGTGGGGGCCCCACCTGGGAGCTCATGAGAAACGCAGAATCTAAGGCCCCACCCCAGGCTAACTGCATCAGAATCTGCATTTTGATGAGCCTTGCAGACGATTCCCATGCACTTTACAGGTTAGCAGCGCTGCTGCAGCAGACTTGAGAGTGAGCAAGAGTAAGTCTCAAACTGAAGTACGGTAACCATACAGGAATCATCAGAATCCAGCAAAAATGTGCAGTTCTTGTAGGAATGAGCAAAGAAGAAGTTGTCACTAGGAAACTCTTGAGAAAGAGGCAGCAGTGGGCTGTCTCAGCCCTTGTCTGAGCTCCCATTGCAGGGAAAGCTTTCCTCATCCCCAAAAGTCCAAACCCCCCAAGACAATGGGTTTTAAGATGGAAACAAATTGTTTGTGGGGGAGGGTGTGTGTTTCATTTTCAAAGATAATATGCTTACTTTTATTTTTAAAAACGAGAGAGGGAAAAGTCAGAAAGAAAGAGTTTAGCAAATCGGACATGGCCCAAGTTTTTCCGTTTAGGGGCTCTTCTCTTCCTGCCCTTTGAGAACGTTGGCACATTTCATTCATTTTAGGAGAGATTCCTTTATATTCCTCTAGGGCACATAGCATCCAGCATGGAGGATGGCCAGTTAAGTGGGAGGAACTTCAGCTTCCAGAATATCTTTTCTATGAATGTTTGTCCTCAGATTAAATCCCCTCTTAGTCCATTCAGGCTACTATAACAAACAAAATGCCATAAATTAGTGCTTACAAACAACAGAAATGTATTTCTCACAGTTGTGGAAGCTGGGAAGTCCAAGATCAAGGCAGTGGAAGATTCAGTGTCTGGCAAGGGCCTGCTTCCTGGTTCATAGATGACACCTTCTTGCTGTTTGCTCACGTGGTGGAAGGGGGAAGGGGGTCTGTCAGGTTTCTTTTATGAGGGCACTAATCCCATTCATGAGGGCTCCATCCTCATGACCTAATCACATCCCAAAGTCCCCGCCTCTTAATACCATCACCTTGGGGATTAAGATTTCAACATGTGAATTTTAGGGGGACTCAACCATTCAGAACATATCAAATCCTAAAACCTAAGCTTGGAAGGATATTCCTAGTACACGTAGCAGACCCTCCACACATGATGCCAACTCCGGAATGTAATGACTAGGAAATGCTCTGACCAAAGACCAGGAAACGAGATTTACACACCAGGGGGTTGAGAAGTATAGAAAAGCAGCCAAGCAACACCCTGCGTGCTGGCCCTGGGGGAATGTCGGTCCGGTGCGAAGAGATTCTCAACCTGGAGGCCAGAAAATATCCAGTGGAATCTGCTTGTCAGGGAGAGGGCCCAATGTGGCTCTCTGTGCCCTCCCAGCCTTTCCCTGACATGCTCTGTTGAGGCTGTACCACACTGCTGGGGGAGCTGGAATGTCTTTCAAGTGATCTTAACACGTGTTTTCATGTTTTAGTGTTATGATTTGCATGTACTGTATTATTTAATGCTTACAAATCATTTTTCTGAGACTCCAAATCTGTCTGTAAAGTGTACAGATTCCCTGAAAGAGTCAAGATGCAATTTGTCCTCATTGTCTCAAACAGTCATTGTGTCCGTGGTTCCAAAAAGTCAGGAATACTACACAGACCTGGTCCCTGCCTTCAGAGAACTCGTAGGCAAGGAGAGGTAGTGACACATAAATAAACATCAATCCGTGTGTGGATATTCATTTCTACTAAATCAGAGTCTCTGCGTACACTAACCGACATACCTAGGAGCCTACAGTCCTGTCACTGTAACTTTGGGCTTCCCCCACCCCTGTCTTCTTGTACTGGCTTCAAACTTGAAATTAGCCAATTAGAATTGGCTAAACAAAATTTTTCACAGTCTTTCCCTCCCTGGCTTTCTTGTTTTTATTTTTCAAAATTCTGAATGAAGGGGATTTGGGTTGGGATGAGACCATCATTCTGTCCCTTCAATTTTCGTTCTGTTACCAATTTTTAGAGTCCCATGGGTAGAAGCCTTGATTTTGAGAAACTATTCGCTTTTAAGTTTTGACTCCACAAGGTAATTTCAACTCAGCTGTAAATAATTCTAGAGGGTGACTATGAAAGAGGAACTGCCTCTCCCGGCTTCCCCTTGGGGACCTGGAGTCTCTCCTCCCTTTGCAGAGCATGACAAAGAATTTTAAGAGTATGCTGGGGGTGGGGTTTAGGGGTTAAAAGAGAAAACCAACTGTGGTTGGCTCAAAACCAGACTGTGTAAGACAGCCCTGCTGCCGCTGTCTCCTTTCTCCCACCCGCCACTAACTAACCGATGCCTTCCATCACCCAGAGATGAACTGGGGAGGCTGATTATTGACAGCTGAGCAATTTGCACAATAAAGTTTAACGGTTTACATCCCCTCGTACAACTCTGTCAATGTTTTCTAAGCATCACCTTCTCGGGTGATCCCACTGACTCCTCTCCCTCTTCTCTTTCCTTTCAAGCGTGCAAACGCAAAGAGCAAGAACCAAACAAAGACAGGAACAATTCCCAGAAGAAATCCCGCCTGGTGTTCACTGACCTCCAACGCCGAACGCTCTTCGCCATCTTCAAGGAGAACAAACGCCCGTCGAAGGAGATGCAGATCACCATTTCCCAGCAGCTGGGCCTGGAGCTCACTACTGTCAGCAACTTCTTCATGAATGCCCGGCGCCGCAGCCTGGAGAAGTGGCAAGATGACCTGAGCACGGGGGGCTCCTCGTCCACCTCCAGCACTTGTACCAAAGCATGATGGAAGGACTCTCACTTGGGCACAAGTCACCTCCAAATGAGGACAACAGATACCAAAAGAAAACAAAAAGGAAAAAGACACCAAATTCTTAGCTGGGGCCCTTCACTGGTGATTTGAAAGCACAATTCTCTTGAAAAGAAACTTCTATTCTAGCTGTAATCATAGGCCAGGTGTTCTTTTGTTTTGTTTTGTTTTTAATGGCTATGTAGTCCAAGTGCAAGCTGAAAATTAATTTTTTTGAACCAGACATTGTCCTCTGAGCATGCTAAGCATCCCAGAAACCCAAATGGGGCCTTCCTGGAGAGAGTCAATTCCAGTATGGTGTCAACCAAGCTCAGGATTGCTTAAAATGTCATCAGTCCCACTTTGGGTCCTGTCAACCTCTTGCAGTCAGCATTCCCATGAGTAACAATGGGGATTGGGCCTATGTAAGGACTCCTGAGTTTAGGCTTCCAAGATGCTACAATAAGAAAAGACTGTGGCAACAAGAATGACCTCATTTGCTTTCCAAGTGCTTAGCCTCATTATACCACAGTACACCAAAATCCACAGCCATAACATAAAAAAACATCAGAATGGTAATTACTGAGCACAAGTTTTAAATGTGGAAGTTAAAAAAAAAAAAATCCAAGGACTTGTTTTTCCAACTCAGGCATCTTTTCATTGAATGGTTTGGAAAGCTTTAAGTTGACCCAGTTTGCAATTTTCTTTTTTTTTACCTCCTGGAAATCTCACATGGTCTTGGATCTGTCAAAAACAAATCAGTTCACTTGAGCTCAAAGTATCAAGCACAACGAAGATAAACAGAAGTAAAGAAGGTTCTGGATTCACCACATCAGGATTTTCAAGACACCTATTGTGAAGTCATTAGGGAATCATTGGGAATATGGCTTCAAGCACATTTTGCAGTTTGCTACAAATCCTGTTTGTACATAATGCAGATGCACACTCAGGAGGCCAATTTAACTGTTACGGTACATGGAGCAAATGCAGCATTTTAAAAGATCTAGATTTTTTTAGATCATTAATGTATCCTTCTTGGTTTATCAGTCATCTGGTTCCTCCTATCGTGCATTGTGACCACCACGTAATTCATTCTCACTCTTTCTGATTTGAGTTGTTCCCTCATCCATCCTATTAGTAGGGATGCTTTCAGTGTTTTCTAACAAGAAAAAAAAATCAGTCAATCAATCAAACCTCCATATATGTTACTCATGACTCATCCAGTCCTAAATCTCTTCCATTGTTGAATCATCCTTACAAAACAGCTTAACACATCTGGAGAAAACACAGCACACCAAAGAAGCAGAATACTGCAAACCAAAGACATTTATTACTTGCCATTTTCTAGCCTAAAAATACTGTGATTACTTTTAGAAATCAGAAAAACCTCTGCAACTCCGAATGGTATTCAGCTCTTGCTTTTGGCACACCATCGAGCTGAGTGGACCACCGCGCCAAGGACGTTAGCCAAGCCACCCAGGGAGTGGCCTCGCCACGCCAGTTCTGGTTCCTGGCTCTCACCTTCCCATAGTAAGTGGAAGAGCCCACAGAACTCTGGGAGATTGCAAAGGTCACGACGTGCATATTTACCAGTGAATGGCCCCAGGTGGGCACCATGGGGGTGTTCAAAGCAAGCCAAACGCTGCAATGATTCTTTACAGACACTTGAGACTGACTTTTTTATGAATTACTTAATCGAAACCAAAGAAACTTTTTCTGCACCTACTTCTGCAACAAACAAAACTGTCCCATTGAAAAGAATAAATAAATCCGTGAATCAATGGAAATCACCACCAACAAGAAGGAAGCACGCCAGAAAAACAGAACCAAAAACAGCGAGACACACTGTGTTCAAACAGACCTCTTGGGACATTTTTTGGAAGCAGATTTTTAAAGAAAGGGTTGAGACAAGGATAGAAATAAGGAAGAGCCTCAGTGGCTGCTGCTTCATTTGACAACTCACGTGGTAATCTTAAAGTTGAAGATTGTCTTTAATTTGTGCCTATGCAGTTTTTTCAAAAGAACATGGAACAGAGCAACAGAAACCTCAACAGCTACAATACCAAAGATGAGGATTTCTCATACCTTTTGTTTCAGTTCATTATCTCCTCTTGCCTGGCTAAAATACTAATAGCGCCATTGATCTGTATAAAGGTAATTAATTATGTTTCTCTGAGCAACAAAAGGAAAGGGTCATTTATTTGATTTTATGGTTTCCTTTTAGTTTTCTTTTATGGCTTTTTACCCCAACATGGAATCTCTCAAAAGCTTCCATGGACTCCAAGTTTAAGATGTTGGGATATTGAACAGTTTTCTTCTCTCTGCTCAGCAGGGGGTGGGGAATGATATTGTCACTTGAATGTCCTTTGCTTAACCCTTAGACTTGGTTACTTCTGTGTTCAGAGTCTGATCATCAGGGGAGGGAAGGGAGCGAGGGTCAGGAGTAAGGGTCTTGGCGATTCAATCTCTCCCAAGCCACAGAACCAAAGAGTTTATAGAGGTATTTGCAGCCTCGTCTTCACGTGATCGCTACATCCTAACAGGGCTTCATTTGGGGGTGGGGGGAAACATGTAAAAATAATTGCCAGTTTCTACTTTTCTATTAGCTTTTTAAAAATCAGCTGTAAAGTTGCATTTCTAATGAAAGATATATATAATATATGAATACATATATAGATCAACTCGACATTGGTGATAACCCAAAAGTATTGCTGTCCAAATTCATGTCTTGTTTTTGTCAAGTGCTTCATTCGTTAGGGATTCGGTTCAGAAGTGTTCTCCTTTCCCGTGCCATTCCAGAGTTAATTTGCCTTTGTGGATGATTTGGAGTATTCAGATCTCTATGAAAGTTTCTGGGAAAGGTTTAAAGTCAAGTTCAAGCATTCCAACATTTAACCTGTTGATAAGTGGATCCATGGCATCAGTGAGTTTCATTTGTATTTGGAGTCATCTCTATTCTATGCCTCAGCCTTGATCAAGTGGCCAGTGAGGCACATCCACAAGACCCGGCCCGGAACTGGGCCCGGACAGTGGGGTGTTCATCTTCTTAACTGCTGGGGAAGCTCAGTGGTCCGTTTCCACCAGTTATGGGATATGAGGCCAGACTGGAAATCTGTTCTCCAGGAGTTGCCCTGTCCCATCTGGGTGTCCCAGATCCCCCTCAGTGAGTAGATCCACCAAAGGGACTTCTCATAGGGGAAGTCCAGCTCCCGTTGCAATGGGTTGATCAGGCTTCCTCAGGGTGGTAATTACCAATTCGTATTGACAAGCCTGTGTGCAACCACAGCTGGCACTGGGGTGGGGCAGTAGTGTTGTTGGGGGGAAGGGATCTCAGTCCTGGAGGGAAAATATAAAGCAGGTTTTGGGGAGAATCCCAGAGTCCTGCTCCTAGAGAGCCCCATTGTCATTCTTTGTGCCACCTCCTCATTCCCACCATGTGGGTCTCCCTTGGCAGGGGCAACAGCTGTGGAGCTGTGACAGAATGAGGCTCTCCATGATTTTTGTAATTCATCCTGCCTGGGGAATTGTTCCTTGACTTTTCCCTTGTGTCTCTTGGTCCCTTGTTTATACTCCATGTATCCTTTGTCAAAGGACCTAGAAAAGAGCATATTTCAGCAGAGGAATGTTCCCGTATGGATTGATTTCAACTTGGGTATTTCTAAATGAGTCATTGTGACTTGAGGCCAATGGAGACAGTTGTTCTTCTCAAGTTTGGATTGAGGAACGGAGCCTGCTTGATTTGGTCAGTGATTCTTTGACACACTAATCTCAGTATTTGGGTGTCTCTGGCATCCTCTGAAGATGTCTAAGACCAAAAAAGGCTGCCATCGTGGCCTGCCATTTCAACACTGGTCAAACCAGTCCTCTGGTGATCAGAGGAAGATGTAAAAGAAGGCAAGAATTTTCCTCCAAGGACTTTTGATAAATGTCTCACACCCAGATAATATTAGAAAGAAGTGCTTGCTTTAAAAAAAAAAAAGTATTTATATGCATATATAAACATATATGTG